CGTGTTCGGCTCGTTCGTTAAGCCTAACGAGCCGAACACAAGTTGTTCACGAACAACGAGCCAAATTGACAGCCCTACACCTAAGTATCAATTTTTACATATGACGTCAAAATTTTGGGTGATATAAATTATTTGCATTTTAATCTTCTCCCCCAATTCTATTTTTGCACTTCTTCGCCTAAAATTGTTATCTGTATTTGAATTTAATTTAAAATTAATTTGTTAAAATTTTAAATTGTGATATAATATAAATTCAATATGATTAAATCAAAAATACAATTTTATTTCTTTTTTTCTTATCTCAATTATTAATTTATCAAAATTATTGAGCTATTAGTGAATATAAATTTCATTTGTCATCTCATTTTTTTTGAGTAGATGCATATGCATAAGAAAATATAATAAAGGTTTTATGACATGTATCACACAACTCTTAAAATTTGAGTGTTAAAGTAGTAAAATTTAAATTTGAAAATTGTATTTATAAATATATAAAAATTATCTAATATGTATGTAAATATTCTATACAAGTAATTATATAGCAAATATAGCACTACAAGTTAACAATTATTTTTTTCTTCGGATATTGTTGAATCTGAATATGTCTTGTGAATCACATGTAAGAAATAGAGCGTTAAACAGATGAGAGAGAGAGAGAGAGAGTGTGTGTGTGTGTGTGTTTGTTTGTTTGTGGGTGCGTGGTAACAAATTGATTCATTGATTTATTAATTAACATTTAGTGTAAAAATGACAACCCTATTTATTGGAGAAGATGGTACCGTGTAAAACAACTTGATTGCCCCTGCCTTAACTGGGGTGTTATAGGGTATTTTGGATATTTACATAATGAGTCTATGGCTCGGTTATCTTATTGCTAAGCCAGTTGAGATCAACGGCCTTGGGTTAGCAAGACTCATTCAGTTGACAATGCTAAGTTGGGCTTCTTGATTGGCTTTGATTGATCTTCAGTTGTCTGTACTTCGCTCGATCGGCTTGAGTCAACTGATCGTCTGCTTTGGTCTAGCTATCGATTGTCGACCCCTATATGAGGAGCTATTGTTGCCATGGTGAGACTAAGTTGTCCGACATAGAGTGAATCATCGTAATAAGACATGTAACTCATCTCTTGACAAAAAAAATATGGCTTTTGGGGTGTTCGCGGAGTATATCTTGGGGAGAATCTTTAGCTTCCTTAAGTCTCTAAGGCTCATAAGAGGGGGCAAGTGGCGTTGGAGTGATAGTTGAGTTGATGTCTTCTCTCAACTGAATAAATCTTGGTTTTTGGCTCGGACGACCTTCGTTCACCAAGCTTCACGTCCCACTCAATTGATCTTTAGTTAGTCAATCAAGTCTTTGATTTTCTAGTGACGTAACATTTGGTCTTTCTCGACCTTTTGTCTTCCTTCTATGGGTGACCGCACTTCCACGAATCTTAATCCGTCTGATTTTCTCGAGATTCATTGCTGATACATTTCTGATGTGCCGATATTGTTGCTCAAACTTGCATTTCATCAACAACCACTATGCTATTTGGGTTAAGTTGAACAATTTGTCCAAAATGTTTTAATAAACTTCTTCTTTGTGAAAAAGAAGATGAAATTCAATCCTTTCATCCATTTGATAAACAAAATAATAGTTATTTTATTAAAATTTAAATTGAGGGCATTTAAGTAAATACGACAAGATTCTTATATATCAACATATCTGGCCCCTAAATTTCATTTTTACACAAACGTTCCTCAAATCATTGTAGTTATAAAAAATACTACTGTTCGTGGCTTTTTAAAAAGTGAAATAGACATTTCATAATTTTACTTACACGCCACACATTTCTTATGTATTTACATATCCGGACATGAACTTTTATGTTGAGTTTCATAACACTCCACATAAATTTTATCATTTTTACTAATTTTTAAAAGTCAAATGCATATTTTTATACCTATTAAAACAATTTTTCTAAATATAAATACTAAAATTGAGGTGTTATTTATTTAAATTCAAAAGAATTTTGTGATATGTATTTAAATTTCTTTTTAAACTATCATTAACACACAATTCTAACTTGCTTGCTTTGATCTGCACCCATTTTGAATCAGAGCTTACAATTTTTTTTCTAAACTTAATTTGAAATTTAATTAAATTTTATATTAATTATTAATTTTAAGTTATTAGTTAATATCTTCTTGATGTTACTCTCATGATTAGGAGTGTAAATGAGCCGAACACGAGCGAGCTCAGGCTCAGCTCGTGTTTGGCTCTTTTATATTTCAAGCCCAAAAAGTGTGTTCATATTCGGCTCGTTTGCTTAGAGAGCCGAACACGAGCCATTCACGAACAAAGAATCGTTTTGACTCTTTTAAAAACTCTATTCACATAGTCATAAGATTTTAAGGATTGAGGCATGATTTAAGATTTATTGTTTATATTAAAACATCATTTAAATCTAATTTTAAAAAAAATTATTCTATTTTCTTAATTAATAGTTTTAATTTATTATAAATCTTTGTAGCCTTGTATTTAATTAATTTTTTTAAAAATACTACTCATTGATATATATATATATAAATGAGGAGTAGTATTTCGTGCCAAAACGAGTCGAACACGAACTAACAAATCTTTGATCGTGTTCGGCTCATTAACTTAGTGAATGAGTCAAACACGAGATGTTCACGAACAACAAGCCGTTTTGAGCCCCGCTCATGATAGATATTGTTTTTATGATGGGCATTGAATTAGCTCTTATTTAAAAAATTCATTTGGCTTTTGCTTGGGAAGTTTCGAATGGACATTTGATTTCATTTTCATAAGAGTTTGAATATCTTTTAATAATTAATTAATATTTATAATTTCTTCAACATTATTGATCATCAGTGCATCACTTAATTTTTAATTCATCCAAAATATGATTTTTTTTTTATAAAAAAATTTTAAATTGTTCTCCATCAATTCTCGCCTTCATCAATAATTATATTCAGTAGAATTTAGGGTTTAAATAAGTTGAACTTGAGCGAGCTTTGATACGACATCAACAAAAACTTTCATCTTGCAAAAATCTTGAGGCATGACACGAATCTCGAGATAATTTTTTTGATTAAAATTTTCAAATTTTGATAAAAAGTCATCAGAGTTCTGATTTAAGCAAACTTACAATGAAACTGACCGGCTTCAGGAGACAACCCAATAATATCAAAAGTTAGTTTAACACGAATTAAATCAAGCTCAGATCAATACATTAAACCTCTTTTTGAAGCTTTCTAGACACATTTGGGATGTCAAATTCAACAAGCTTATAGTCGACGTGTAAATGCAAAGAAATTGAATGGTATGTATGTAATTTTTTCTGTTGTAAAATATTCTTATAATATTTTATAAATACTTTTAATAAAAAAATGGAAGTTTCGAACTCTTTATATAATCACTATGGAAGAATCTCTCAATTTAAAAAAAAAATTGTCTAGAGGAGAGAGAGAGAGAGAGAGAGAGAGAGAGAGAGAGAATATGTTTAGAAAGTTAGTGTCTGTTTGGGGCAGCTTATTTGGTACGGTGGCGTTTTGAAAACACACCTGGACTGTTTGAGTAAACCACGTTTTTGACAGCTTATGTGTTTTCAAAATGTTGAAAATAGCGTTTTCACACCGCATCTATCTTATTGCGGTTGTAGCTTTCTGGCTATGGTCTAACTATTCCAAAAAAATAAAAATTTTTAGTAGCTACCGCACCTAGCTTATCGACATATTATTTTTAATCAACTTATCAGCTGATTATTCAATAAGTTGCAGCTGCCCCAAATAGGCCCTTAGTCTACAAGGAAGAGAAAAGGAGAGAAAGTTTAGAAGAAACTTGATTGAGCCCATTTGAATAGAGGATAGTGAGTTGAACTTTACAATGGAGAAACATGTCAAAGCAATAGATTCCATAAAAAAAAATTTAGCATGGCTTTACTCAAAAAGGCCAAGATTAAGGTTGATATTTTTGATTGACGACATGATTTGATTATGCATAGCATATAAAAGTTGAAATGAGTGAGTCTAGTTGTACAACATATCTCTCAGGCATACAACAAAATAAAGTCCTGCCCGCATCTTGAGAAGGGGAATAGAACTGGTGCCAAAGGATCATGGAGAAGAGGGAGCAGATGTCCAATATTCCACACCAACAATCCAACAAATGCTCCCTGCTCATGCAAACACCGACTACTGTTGACCAACACTCGCCGGTCAACTCCGACCACCATCATCCTCCACCAGCTCCTTGCAAAATCACAACGTGCGTTGCGACATCTTAGCATAAATTGCATTACAACGAAACACTTTACAGAGTTGCACGCTATCCTGAATTCGATTCAAATATCAACAAAACTCAAAGACGAGATGCTGAAGTTTCATCAATTGTTACCAATTAAAATCATCTCCAACCACTGTGCAACAAACAATTATATCTAAAGAAATGTGAAGTCCTCTCCCACCCGTAGGACAAAGACCAAGAAGTGCAATCATTAATTTAGTCAGACCGTGTTGTTTTCTCCTTTTTTGATTTTTCACGTAAAAACCTCTTATGTGTCTGCTGTTAGTTTTTTTATGTGAAAATGTTTCGGATTCTCAAACAAGACTAACGCGATATTTCATTATTCCACCATTGCGACTTCTCTAGCACGCTTCAACTTTTATTTACTTTTCAAAAATAAAATATACATTTGCATGCCTACATTTATTGTCAAAATGTTACGAGTATAAATATAAAAATTTAGTCCTTACACATGTTGTAACATTGTAACTACATAAGAATTGCAGGTAATGTGTGCAAATTTCGCTTGATTAAATAACCCCGCATGTTTAACCATGATATACAACGGCAATAAAATGCCGCCCAATTGGGAGCAAAACGCCCCTTCATCGCCGTCGGGCGGCGCAGAAACGCAAGGTTACGACGGCTAACTGCAGGGAGCAGAACAGAGATCGAAACAGCCATGGATCGTCTTTTCAAACAAGCAAGATCATCCGGATCTCTCAATCTGTCTAATCGCTCACTGAGGTTCACTCTTCTTTCCCTTTTCCATATGGATCCATGTAGATCGCCGTCTCGAAGATGTTCTCATTCTAATATTCTAATTGCTGATAAGTTAGGGGGAGTTTGTGGCTTGATTGTTCTTTTGTCTGGGACTGTTTTTTGGTTATTTATTTCATGCGATTAAGACTTTTCGATCCGAATGCTGTCAACGAGAACGATGCAATTTACTGGAAGAGCTGGTAGGATAGTTCTTTGAAATTTTCTTGGCTTTTGAGATTCGCGATCCGATGTTGAAGGATGGTGATTCTCACCTGAGATATTTCAATGTCAAACCAAGTTCTTCTGTTGTATAAATTGTCGAACATTCCCGGTTACTGTTCTTTCAGAGAGTAGATAAGAAAAATCCAAAAGAATTCCTTAATATCACACAGTCATGGCATTTCTGGCGTTCACTAGTTATGCATACATTGAATGTTGACTTAAAGTAATAAAATTGAACGCGAGAAATGTTTGATTAAAGCTTACATAACTAGCACAACAAGATATAGCTCCGGTGTCAAGTATTGCTTTCAACTTGAAACGCTCCACACCTGGAACTTCAAATGTAATTATTAAATTAAACAATTTATTGATGATCCTTTTGGGAGACCTCTGTGCTTGTTCCTTCAAGGCTTCAGAGAACATTTTTGCCCCATGCTCATCAATTTGTTCAGGATCATTTTCTTCATCGTCCTCAAACGTAACGACCTTTTTACCCTCGTCTCTTAGGGTAAGTTCTTGCATATCTTCAACTAACTGCTTCTCCATCTCTTGCTGAAGCTGCTCCTTCAGTCTTCTCTTTTCTTCAAGCAGGTTCTCCGTGTATTTTACCAATTCATGGATTAAGTTGTCCTTAGATTGAAACTGAAGTAGGGATAACTCTTTCTAAACAATTATTGCTAAGTGGAACTTAGCACAAGATGCAATGTACTCTCATATTTGGATTTGTAATGATATAGCAATAAATACACCGAGAGTTTTATGAGTTTGTTGTGCTCCCATTGATGCGAGCACTTCTCTTGATCATCCTTTAATTTGATTAGGCACCTCCATCCGTAGTCCTCCTTCATCATTAGCCCAAATTCCTCAATTGGGCAGTTTTCCAAGGCATTGCGGAATGTGTGAGGGTATTCACTCCTCCCTCGGAGATCGAACAGATTGCGTCAAATGACTCTTCATCGAGATATACAGAGAGAACATCATAGTCATCCGGAAGTTCCAAATTATTTAATATGGCTGCTCGAGCCATATTGCCCTTTTTGCTCTTACATTCCTTGGCGAAGTGACATTCATCGTCACAGATGTAACACCGACACTTAGCAAACTTCGGTTTGTTTTTATTCTTGATGACCCGCAGATGTGAATCATGCGACTTTCCCTTGTAGTTCTTTGATTTGTGCAAGCCGTATTTCTTGTGCTGGTTATATAATCCAGGCACAAGTATTTTCTTGCACATAGAGAGATCCTTGATCCCTCTTTATACCGCGGCTCTCTTACACAATTCTGCAAGGTATTGATAGGTAAACCGAATCCTTGGCATTACCCCAACTCTATTTTCTGGGTACTTCTTCTTGAATGCCTCCTCTATTTCATTGCCAATAATCGGGGGCATCTTTCGGAAAAACTTGTCAGATAACTCTGGACTGATGTACATTCGTTCAGACTTTGCGGCTAATACTTTATAATCATTCATATAATCAAACATGTTCTTTATTTCAGAACATGTTAGCCGCTCCAGATCCAAGGAGGCTCGATTATGTTCATCAGTTGAGCCTTGATAAGGGTTTTCAAGTAAAATCGCCCTTCTGATGGCTGAAAGTACGTTCTGTGGATCATCAACGATGTTGATCAACGCTTCATACTTATCTTCAAATCTCTTCCTCCATTAGATTCAAATTTTCTTTTCGACTTCCCCTAACAAATTATCGATAAACAATACCTTTAATTTATTATCCGCAAATTGTTTATCGTTTACTAGGTTCAGAGTAATTGATTCCCATCTGGAAATTACATCATCATAGAGGGAAAAGTCATCTGATAGAACAAGTATTACACCTTGTGCATTTTGTGCGGACGACAGCGCCCACATGTTCTGCTGATATGAACGTTTAAAATCTGAGGCTCGTGACCTCAGGTTTTGGAAGCTATTGGAAGAGGAAGAAGAGTCTATGCTCCAGAAATTGCAGGTGGATACATAACCGGACCCATAATCGGTGCATTAGGAGGTAAATAGGAAGAGGAAACAGACGCGTAAGCATTGTCTGCTTTGACAGCCATTTTCCTGAGAAGTAGATAGTTTAACTCTGCAAGTTGGTCTTTAATGTTTGGGTAGACCATCTCTGGTTCAGAGATAGATATAGGAATAGGGAAATGTTCAGACTATAATGGTGAAGTTATATCAACAGGGGTAGACTCAAATATTTTTGGTGGTGGTTGAAGAGAAGGGTAAGGAAGATCTGTTTCAAAATTTTTAAAATTGGCGGCATCATCTACATCATCTCCATCAACTTCCGCGAATGAACTTTGTTCATTATTTAAATTATTCATGTACAAGAACACTGAGAACGAATCTTCATCGCCATCATCTCCTTGCTCACTTGGAGATGCATCCCAGATTGGTTCTTCAACTCTCCATATCGTTGTACAATCGTCCGCATCATCATTTTGCTCTTGGCCCCATATTGGTCCATCATGGTACGCCATATATGCAGTTTCTTTCTCAGAACCTTCGATGTCCTCAGAGGAATACTGTGGTACAGGTGGTGGCGCAACAACAATATAATTCGAGAAAGACAAACGAATTGTACCGTCAATTCTTTGACAAGTAAGTAATTGACACGAAATTTGAACTCCAGTATTATCTGAGGGCTTCAGGTTCCAATCAAGCCCCTGTAATTGCTGAATAGAGTGTTTCTGCCCTGGAATAGCAACAATTCCATGGGTAGCAAGATAGTCCGCAATCCCGTTGACATTATATTTAAATCCTGCATGACTAGTATTGGTGAGCCTAGAGACTAAAGCGCGAGTAATCAGGAGATTTGATTCTTCTCCTTGCCAGTCCTTGTAACCATGCGTTAAGACAACCAGCTCGATGTGATTTAAGAAATCATGTTTAGACAACATGTCTGGTGTTATATACACGAGCTGAGTTTCCTTGGAATGATCTACTTCAATTGTTCCAATTATAGAGACGCCAAAACGCCATCTTGTATCACGTAGAACAATCAAAGCAATAGTCCCTACATCCCTCCTATGCAGAGTATGTATTCTTATCATTATCAGTCCGAGGTGGATGTGTTGCATCCCTTCCTAGACCAGCCTCTGATAAGATTATTGCCTAATAAACGACAAGTTGATCTGCATATCCTCTGTAACGAGTATGCGCTCTTCTAAATAGTGCAGATAAACTCGATGCCTTGTAGAAGACCATCCGTCTCATACAGAGTCTCAGCAGGTACTAAATTCGCACGTTTTTTTTGCGAGATCTGAAGTTGTTGCTCTGGATCAAACTGACTTTCCGGAGTTCTTGTATAAGATCTTCGCCGTGGAAGTCGTCTTTGAATCTCATATGCAATACTTGATCTCATACGGTAATCACGTATTTGGTCATTCAGATTTGAAGTGGAAGTAAAAGTAGAGTTAAAATTTCGTACAGTGGGAGTGGGAAGGAGAGTGGTAGTGATACGAAAAAAGGGGTTTTTGGATGTCGAGGCCATTATAATCAAAGATCAAATATACTTTTGTTTTTCCTTTAAAAATATTGTTTTAGGGTTCTGAAAAACAAAAAGTTGGCCTTTAGATTTAGTAGGTTTCACCGGTTTAGATGATTCACCTAGGGAGAGAGATTCAAGTTGTTTTTGTAATGCAGATATAAAATTTTCAACAGACTTATCTCTTTTGTGTTCTTTCTGTTGGATCTGCCTCAACTTATCTTCGATGTTGATAAGTCGATCAGAAACTTTAAGAAGAAGTTGAAGAAGAGTATTATTCTGCTTTATAATAGCAGATAGAGCAATAGCGTCAGAAGGATTCACAAAACCTAACGCTGGAGGTTCTAAAGAATCGGTAGCAGAAAGAGCTAACTTATAATCGGTAGAAGCTGAAAAATTTTTTCAATCATTCATAAATAATAGAGCATAAGCTGGGAATAAATATTGAAGAAATCAAAAATTAGGAACTAATACTCTGAGTTCTCCATTCAGAAAATTAATAAGTTGTCTCGCTTGACTTGTCAATGCCTTGAACTATCATCCTTATATATCTTAACCTTATGATTTATCATACAGATTTACGAATTTTAAAGAAATCTCGACAAATCTGAATTTCAGATGTAAAATAAATTTATAAACTCTTAAGATAAGTTTCTGAACACACTTAGCATATCCTTTTCGACTGTACAATTCCTCAGTGCTCCTACTCTTATTGGAGATCTCGTCGAGGCACTCGGGTCTACTAACTGATCATGCTAAGCAACAACCTCTTATCTCAAAAGATCATAAAAAATAAATTACACGATGAAAACAAATCTATTGAAATTAGCTTCAAAAACTTAAATCAAATAATCAAAATCATAGATCAAAACATATAAAAGATAGCTAAATAACATGAGAGAACTCGACAAATCAACTTATTAAAGTTTCTACTCGGATCTCTTAGAATACTATGAAGGTTTTACCCCAACATAGCTTTGATACGAAAAATGGGCGGAAACAGGGAATCGCCGGCTTTGGGGTCACTATCTGATTTATCTAGATAGTGGATTTTTAAAGAACTTAATGTTTCCATGCAAGTATGGATTTCTGCATCGATTGTTGATTTAATCGTTGTGAATTTATCACTAGCATAGACACATACTTTCTCAGAAGATCGATGATCACTCTTTGTCATTTTCCATTTGCACACTCCTATCCTTCCATACAACCTTCCGTTTCAAGAACAATATAGGCGTTCAGAGGAGGAATTTCTAAGTCAGGAAGTTTCTGAAC